CATTTTGAGAGATGCTCATAGTCCCCTGGAGCTTAGTCGACCTAGGAGGGGAAAGAGAAAAAACTGTCCCTTACGTCCCTCTGACCAAATTAGTATAGGCCTCATAGTATGGCTGTTAAACATCCAAGAAGGTTAGTTCCACCAGTCTGGTACTTTTAATTACTATGTGCCATGTAGATAAAGCTTGGCAAAGACTAAATGTTCTCAGATAAACCTTGCCTAGATATATATTACATTCCTTTATCTAGTTGTATGTATAATTTGTCAGTAGGTTGTTGGACTAATACGGTTCCCTCTGGTTTTTTAAAACTAGCTAGGCATTGTTTATCTCTCTCATTGTCTAACCCTTCCACCATGGTTTCCCCATTTAAGGTGCCCCCATTTTTTTCTCAATAATACCCTTCTCCTATGGTCCCACTTCTTTTGAGCTCCTTCTTTCCCTTTATCCCCTAGGTTCCTTGTATAACCTTCCCCTCCCCTTAAAATACTCACCCCTGTATGCAGTTTGCAAGTATTTTGTTGAAAACTTGTGCATCTATATTCATTAAGGATATGGGGGTATAGTTTCCTTTTTTGGTTGTGTCTTTACCCGGTTTGGGTATTAGAGTGATGCTGTCTTCATAGAAGGAATTTGGGAGTTCTCCCTCTGTTTCTATCATTTTGAATAATTTAAGTAGTATTGGTTGGAGGTCTTCTTTAAATGTCTGGTAGAATTCTGCTTTAAATCCATCTGGGCCTGGGCTTTTTTTTAGTTGGGAGGCTTTGTATTACTGTTTTGATTTCCTTATATGTTATGGCTCTGTTTAAACTGTTGATTTCTTCATGGTTTAACTTTGGTGGTTCCCATGATTTTAGATATCCATCCATTTCTTATAGATTTTCAAATTTAGTAGTGTATAGGTTTTTAAAACATTCCCTTATAATGGTCTGGATCTTTTGGGTGTCTGTTGTGAGGTTTCCCCTTTCATCTCTGATTTTGTTGATTTGGATTTGCTCTTTACATATCTGTCCATTTCTTTTAGGTTTTCAAACTTAGTAGCATATAGGTTTTTAAAGTATTCCCTTATAATGTTCTGTATCTTTCTGCTGTCTCGTGTTTTTTTTTGTTTGTTTGTTTGTTTGTTTCTATTTCATTAATTTGTGCTCTGGTTTTTGTTATTTCTTCTCTTCTGATGAGTTTGGGTTTCATTTGTTCTTGTCTTTCCAGCCTCTTGAGTTGCAGTGTTATGTCATTTAGTTGGATTCTTTCTAGTTTTTTAATGTAGCTACTTAGAGCTATAAACTTTCCTCTTAGGACTACTTTTAAAGTGTCCCAGAAGTTGTGTTGTGTTGTATTGTCCTTTTCACTAAGTTCCAGGAATTCTTTTTTTTTTTTTTTTTGAGACAGGGTCTCCCTGTAGCCCCAGCTGGCCTAGAACTCACTGTGTAGACCTGGCTGGCCTTGAACTCACAGAGATCCACCTGCCTCTGCCTCCTGAGTTCTTGGATTAAAGGCATGCACCACCACGCCCGGCTCCCAGGAATTCTTTTATTTCTTTCTTAATTTCTCCTTTGACCCACTCATTGTTTAGCTGTGTGTTATTCAATCCCCATGAGTTAGTGTAGTAACTAGGGCTTCATCCAATACCGAGTACTGATTTTGAACTTTATATCTTTGTGGTCCAATAGAATGTATGGAATTATTTCTTTTTTCTTTTTTCTTTCTTTTTTTTTTTTTGTATTTGTTGAGGTTTGTTTTGTGGCCCATGGGGTGCTGAGTAGAAACTGTATTCTTTGGTGCTTGGGTGGAATATTCGAAAGATGTCTGTTAGGTCCATTTGATGTATGGTATCTTTTAATTCAGACGTCTGTTTATTCTTTGTCCTGTTGACCTGTCTGATGGAGACAGTGGGGTACTGAAGTCCCCTACTATTACTGAGTTGGGGTTACTCTGTGTCTTAAAGTCCTATAGTGCTGTTTTTATGAATTTGGGTGCACCAGTTTGGTGCATATATGTTAAAGATTGTAATATCTTCTTAGTTGATTGTTCCTTTGATCAGAATGAAGTGACCCTCCTTATCTCTTCTGATTAGTTTTACTTTGAAGTCTATTTTGTCAGATACTAGAATTGCAACCCCTGCTTGTTTCTTAGTGCCATTTGCTTGGAATATTCTTTTCCATCATTTTACCTTAAGGTAGTACCTGTCCTTGAAAGTTAGATATGTTTCTTGCAGACAACAAAAAGATGGGTTTTATTTCTTTATCCATTCAACTAGTATGTGTCTTTTTACTGGTGATTTCAGTCCATTGATTCCTCAATTATACCTTCATTTATTTTCTTTTGTTGCCCTGGGGATATAGTTGTTTCTCTCTCTGCTCTCTCTCTGTATTGCTTCAAGTATTCTTTGAAGGGTTGGTTTTGTGGACATGTTTTCATGTCATGGAACATTTTTTCTTTCTTCTGCAACTATAATAGACATTTTCTCTGGGTGTAGTATTCTGGGTTGGCATCTATGGTCGTTTAGAACTGGGAATGCTTTGGTCCAGGTTCTTCTGGTTTTCGGAGTTTGCAGTAAATCAGCTGTAA